TCCATTTTCCTATGAATGAATCTATTTTCTCGTTCTTTATGGCTGAGTAATATTCCATTTTAATAGAAAAACCACATCTTTATCCAGTTTCCAACGGATGGGCAACTGGGCTGTTTCCAAGATTTAGCTATTACAAACTGTGCTGATATAAACATGGGTGTACATACTTCTCTGTGATATGATTCTTTTAGTTCTCTTGGAAAGATACTCAGCAGAGGGATGGCTGGGTGAAATGGAACCTCCAGTCCAAGCTCTTTGAGGTATCTCCATATTGACTGACTTTTCCTTTAACGTTTAAAGTGCTTATTGACATGGTGAAGTTTGAGGCTGTTATCGTATTTGTTTTCTATTTGTCCCATCTATATTTTGTTGTCTTTTTTTCTTTGACTATTCTGAGCTCTCAAAAGTGTGTGACATTGATATCAGTAATAATAATAAAAGTAAATGGATTAAGTTGGATTTTTAAAATAAAAGCCCACGATAACTATTTATAAGAAGTGAGAGTGCCAGGCACAGCATGCCTGCTTGGAATCACTACTGGGAGGAAGAGGCAGGATTGCAAATTCAAGGCCAGACCGGGCAACTTAGGGAGACTGTCTCAGAATTTAAAAAATAAAATGGACTGGGAATGTAGACCACCATATATGTGTGTATTAATTTTTTTTTTGTGCTACATGGTAGGTAGTCTGTTGATGAACTGTGTCCGCCATCCCAAAATATGTATTCTTTTCAAGATCACTCGGAATAATCTCGCATCTGGCCCTGTACTATGGTCTGTAGTAATATGTAGACTTTTCAGAAATTGATGTAAAGAACATGATCTGTAACCACAATATAATTAAAAGTCACATCAAAAATAAAAACAGCTAAATGTGGTAGTGCATATTCTGGGAGACCAAGACAGAGGAGTACAAGTTCCAGCCCAGCCTAGGCAATTTGACAACTTAATGAGACCCTGTCTCAAAATGAAACAAGAGTTTGGGAGATACAGCTCAGTATGAAGGCCCTGGATTCAATCCCCAATACTCCAAACAAACAAAAAAACTAAAACATACTTTAAAAAAATCCTATATACATATATAAATAGGCTCTTAAAAATCCTTAACATAATGAGTTAGTTCACGTTGATAAATTATTAATATAATTGTGGGATGATATATAGAAACTTTCAGTCTGAAATCAATTATGAAAGAAGTATTCAGTTAAAGCCAGAAAAATAATAATATAAAAACATAAGATAGGAAGAAGTCCTAAAGGTAGTTATGAAATTAGCATTGCTGCAAAAATAATTAAGAGGCGCAAAACTCGATTTTGGAAAAATTGGAGGATAGGCAAAGAAAGAAAAATGATCAAGGCATGTATTGCTAGTATCTCTTCCAAAAGACATCAAATCCAGATGAATTGAAAATATTTTCTATGCCTGGTGTGGTGATGCATGCCTGTAATCCCAGCACTTGGGAGGCTGAGGCAGGAGGATCACTGTGAGTTCGAGACCAACCTGGGCTACACAGTGAGTTCCAGGGCAGTCTGAACTATACATAACTGTCTCAAAAAACAAAACAAAACAAAACAGACTGAGATAAGAGCACAGATGTGTAAGAAACAAAACCACAAACTAGATTCCAACTCTGGAGCTTTTATTCTCCTGAAAACATTTTCTGTGTATGTGGTATATGCAGGATAAGTTGTATGCTTAGTTCTTTCGAAGCAGGCGTGAATGTCTATGCACAGCATCCACAAAGGCCCCTACATGTTCTGGATCCATGTCAGGGTAGAGCCCATGGCCTAGGTTGGCAATGTAGCGTTGTGGCCCAAAATCATCCAGCATCTGCTGCACCAGCTTCCCAATCTCCTCCTAGGGACCAATAGGGCACTGTCTATAGAGGAAGTTAGCAAACTTCTATCTTCCACATAATAATGACAGATATGCAGGAATGTTTCTACACAATATTAATCATTAACAAAAAATTATCAGATACAATTAAGTAAATGCAAATGAACAACAAAAATCCCTTACTTCCTAGGGTTTATGTTATGCCTACAGAACAGAGGGGAGGGACAAATAGGCATAATGATATAAGACGCATAATCATACAGCCATATTCACAGCCATAGGAGTGCATAGAGACAACTTGTACAAACATAGAGGCCCCATTTGTTACCTCAGATGCATACAGGGCACAGGGGTCCAGGTTGCCCTGTAAGGTCACCATCTTCCCCACAAGCTCCCTAGAAGCAAAAGCCAGAGCCACATTATCATGACTACATATTTGGCAACTCCACACCACCTTCAACCTTAAAGGCTATCCCTTCATCACTCACCTGGCTTTCTTTGGGGCCACTGTCCAGTCAAGTCCAACCACCTCATACCCAGACTGAGCCAGCTCCTCCAGAGCAAAATGCCCATCCTTAGCAAAGATGATCTGAAGGAAAGAGCAGATCTCTTGGGCGACATAGGGCCTAGCAATGCCTACTTTCTTGGATGTGCTTCTGCTGCCCTCCAGTGGTCACTTCAGTCCATGCAGATCTTACCCTTAAAGTTCTACAGTTTAACTTCACTCAACCTATCCCAGTCCTCACCATGGGAACTGGTGCCAGGCCTGCCTCCTGCACCCCAGCTTTCACTCGCTTGGCCACATCACGGATATAGGGCAGTGCAAACGTGTTGAAGAGCTGTGGGCCAAGATGTCCTGCATGGGACTCAAAGAGCTGCAATGCCTAAGTTAGAGATGGTGAAAAAAATACATTAACACAAAGGAGAAGTATCTCAGAACCTCCTGTACAGAATGTGTCTTTATTTCCCCAAGTAACTTGAAGCCATGATATTACCTGATCCTTGTTTATACCAGTTCCAGTCAAAGAGTTTGTCTTCTCTAGACCCCAGTGCTAGCTTTAATCTTCAAACACTCAGAACACTCATTAAGCTCTCTGACAGTGTCAGAGGCTTGGCTGCTCCGGCCAGATCACTGGAGGGCAAGCTAAGTCCTCTGCCCTCTCCATTTGAGGAGACTATTGCTTCTAGTCTTTATAGTCCAAATCTCATTGCCTCTCCTACAGGACTTACCTGGGCACCAGCGACCACCTGTCCTATTAGATATGGGACCAGAGCATCAGTGAGGATGCGAAGCAGCTGGTGACTGGCCTGAGGTCTTTGGTAGAGCCATCGCTTGGCCTGAGCCATGGTGCTTGAGCTGCCACCCTCAATCATGTATGTCATCAGGGTCCACTACAGAAACGATACAAAGATGTCACGATGCAGAAGGCAAACTGACTCTTCCTTCCCTTGTCTATACAGGACCTGCCAAAATGATCTCCTCGTACCCCATTCCCTGCCCTATCCCCCACATTACCGGGGCACCAGCAAAGCCAATCAGTGGCACACGCCCAGCCAGCTGTTGCCGGGTAAGAGTGATGGCCTGGAACACATAGCCCAGCTCAGAAACCACTGCTGTTGGATCCCGTAGATGCTCTAGGTCTCGCTCTTCTCTTAATGGCTCTGGGAAGCTGGGTCCTTTGCCAGGTACCATGGTCACCTCCATGCCCAGTGCCTGAAGAGGGATAAAACATCTGGGTTCCCCTGGAACTTCAGGAGGAGAGGTTCAGCCCATGCCAGGAGGAAAGGAAAAGGAAAATAAATCTCCATCTCTTTCGGCCTTAGTTTTTCCTTCTATCCAGTTAGAATAAATGCTTGTCTTGAACCTTAGCATGACCAATAGGATTTCCACAGAGCCCTTTCCACTTTTCACATTCCAGGATCAGGTTTAAATAGGTACCTGGGGTATAACAAGGATGTCAGAGAAAATGATGGCAGCATCCAGAGGGAAGCGACGCAGTGGCTGTAGAGAACAGGAAATAAGTTGCTGGGTGGCAAGCTGGGGGGATAAAACTGGTCCCTCTCGTGGACCCCTCACCTGCAGAGTCAGTTCACAGCAGGCCTCTGGAGAACGACAGGTGCTGAAAAAGTCCTGGGCAGCCCTGGTTTCCCTAAACTCTGCAGGCAGGAGAGGGAAGGCAAGGGTCAACCCTGAGGCCTGTTCCTACAGAACTTTTAATTCTCCAGAGTTTTAAATTCCATCTAGGCTTCCAGGTCTTGCCCCTAACCTGGTAAGTAGCGACCAGCCTGCCGCATACACCAAACAGGAGTGTAGTCTGTTTCCTCTCCCCAGGCTGCTCGCAGAAATGTGTCATTCTTCAGCTCTGGAAAACTCTGGGATCTGATGATCAGATGGGGGTGAAAATAGGTGTCAGTATACTAGGCTGGAGGTTGGAGAAGGTACGGATTCTTAAGGCAGATCCAGTCTGCACCGTTATCTGCCCGCTCCAGGCCAACTTGCAAGATGTGGCTCCCCGCCCTGTAGAAGGGCCTTCGCTGGGGCCTCTTCCCTACGCATACCCACAACTCTCCCAAGCTCAAAAGAACTGGAGAAACTCGAGGGTGAGGGGATAGAAGCCCAGAAAGGAGACTTTGAGGAGGGGGAGAGTGTCACGGAATTAACGAATTTCAGGTGTGGGACCTCCAATGAGCTGGTTCTGAATCTGGATTCTGAGATCCACAGGGTGGGAAATAGTCAACGAGGGGTCAGAGTTGACGGTCTCCAAAACACCTAGTTAGAAGTTCTCGGATGTGCCTTGAAAGAATGCCTGAGAGATGCAGTCCAACAAGGCAGTCTCTAAAATAAAGATCTCAGGAATCCATGGTGGGAAGACTCGGGTTCCCAAAAACAGTGGTTCACACCCGGAAAAGTCCAGGAAAAATAGGGGTACGGGGACAAGTTCCTGAGTCGGGAAATTAGGAAGCCCCGCTACCTACACCGCAAGTAGCAGAGAACTCACTCACCCCTTCCCATTCGCCTCCATGGTAGCTAGTAACTAAGCGCAATCGCCACTGTAACCTGAATCTGCGCCTGCCTCCAGTGCAGGCTCCGCCCCCTGCAAAACCCCTGGCTGCGCCGCGATGAAAGTCACGTGAGCGTACGCCACTGACAGCTGTGAAGCTGCCCAGGCTGCTGCCTGTAGGACCCAAACCATTTTTCACCGTAAAGTTCCTGCTAGCGACGCAATACAACTCCCAAAAGATAAAAATTCTTTGAGGAATTTGTTCTCGCCTAATGGTCTAGAAACTCCGAAGACTTGGTCCAAATCTCACTCTCACTTTCACTCTCCATGACTCTAACAATATTATTGAGCCAGTCACATAGCAAATGATGTAACCAGGTTTCACAAAGAACTAGAATGTTATACTGTACATTACCTACTTAAGAGCTGGGCAACATACTAGGTGCAGTAAGACCACCACTCGTGATGGGGAGAGGATCTGGTTGGCTGCGAGGGGCAGGGTGGAGAGAGCGCGGAGGTAGGTAAAATCGGCGTTTCGGAGTACACAATACAATACGGCAGCAGCGGAGGAGGAGGGGCTGCGTCCCGAGCCGCCGGCGAAGTTCGCCGAAGGCGGGGCAGGGCGTGGTGGGGACCTCGGCCAGCGTTTGCAAGCTCTGGGTCGGGTTTACTCCTGTCTCCCCTCAGCCGCTCCACCATGGCTGGCCCTGGCCCCTGCGCGGCGT